ATTAATTATTATTTATAAATTATATTTATAAAAAAATGCAGAAATGAATATTGTTTCAATATATTACATTTATTTCTAGAAATAGAATGTAGAATATAGAATATAAATATGAATATGTAAATATTGAAATCTAAAGTTAATATATATTTTATATATTAATAATTTGCTTTTAATGATAATAGGAAGAAATTTTTTAAATTACATATTTGAATTTTTTGAATTATATATTTAAAAAAACACATTATACATAAAATTATGATTATTGAATTATAAATAGCTTGAAAATAATTTATGATTGGTTAATATTTTTTAAATTTAATAAATTTATTTATTTGAAAGTAAATTCTATTATAATAATGAAATTAATAAGTGGACTGAAAAAAATTTAATCAATGATTTTGATAATATGAAATTTCCAAATAAAAGAATAAATTAGTCAAATATCTTTTATTAATAAATTTTCTATTTATATCTATTTTTTTAAAAAATTAAATAAAACTTAATATATAATTAAGTAAAAAAAAATTTTCTTTATTATATATATAATATGCTTGATATTTATTTGTGATATACATTCAAATACAATTTTTAATAATACATATATACAAAAGTTGTTGCATATATATATAGTATATAATGTAAACATGAAACTACAATATTTGACTGATATATAATCTTAAACGGAAAAATTTGAAAGCAGATTGTTGCTATTAATTTACATGCAAATTTTATGAAAAATCTCTCTAAAAACTATATAAGACTATCATGTATAAGAGATTATCATGTATCAATACAGGATTATAATAATCTTGAATGACAATTTTATAAGAAATTACGAAAAACTTAATTACAATATATACTTGAATTTATGTAATGTGATATATATGTATATATCCATTCATGCAAATGATAAAATTTAATATTCACAATCATTTGTTCAATATATTCCTAGTATTTACAAAAAGAAAAAAGTTAAGATAGAAAACAAATATGATATCAATATATTGATAACAGATTTGTTTCGTTCTCATTTCATAAAATTAAATATTTCATATAAAATAATATATTTCATAATAAAGTAATCGAAAATAAATTTTTCGAGAATTCTTTTTATTTTTATTGTGCATGGATTGCTATAACGTAATATGGATATTGTGTTTGAAGCCTATTGTAACTATGATTCCATCGTCTACGTAATATCACAGACAGTCTTAAAAATATCACGAATTGATATCATCAACAATTCAAGATAATATCAATTACAAAAATGCTTCATGATTTCTGTTATATCGAACGAAACATATATCTGGAACGAAACATTTTTGGAAATAACGTATAAAAAAAAATGATAAATATCTTTGGATATTTCACAATAACAACTACAATTCTTTATATATATATATATATATAATATGCTTGATATTTTCTTGACAATATATTTTATATTACGAAAAAAATAATTTTTACTATATATTTAAACAATATTTAGTTTAAATTCCTAATAAAAAATGAAATTTAAACTATATACATGAAAACAATGTTATTAAGTTCAACGAAAAACATAAAATAATTTTTTAACAATTTTTCTTATTTTTGCCCCTATCTATCAAGATGCAGATAAGTTATACAAATATAGAAATATATATTATTAGAAAAATATTTAAAAAATCAAATTTGTAATCATTTCATCAATATTCAGCATTTTAATTTGCAAATCAATAATTCTTGATTTGATTATAATAAGTTAAAAATGAATACGCAAATTATTTTATATATTCTGATATAATCTAATAGTTATTTATTAACCATATTAATATTCGTATTATTTATATATACAGTACTGTTCATTATGCAATCGTGTAAAATATTATCACATTACTTATAAATTAAAAAAATAACTGGTATTAAAATTGTTAATTAATATAGTTGTTAAAATTATATTAATTATACATAACATTTCAATATTTCAACATTTCAATTGAAATTGAAAATCAATAATAATATAAATGTGTACTTGAAAGAAAAACGAACAAATTATTTCGATTTTATCTAGATATTGATTATAACAAATAAAAATATTAACCGATATGTATTAATTGGCAGCTCAGTCAGTCACATTCATATAATTTATTTTGAAATGTGACTAGACAATTTAACTTGTAAATACAATATTTTAATTTTAATCACATTAATAATCAACAAAATCATCGTAACATGTTTAGCTAGTGATATTTCCTGAATGAATGTTTTATGAAAAATAAAAAAAAATGAGACAAAAAAAAGATTAAAATAATAATGATAATTCGTTGATTATATATATTTTTCATTTCATTTAAAAGGTTTCAATAATTTTTCAGAAAAATTTATCGAAATTGAATTCTAAAAAATTATTCTACTATATGCTTTTTTACTTCGACAAATCATTTGAAAGCTTTTTCTTAACTGATGATCAGTGAAATATAACTGCGATAACTCACAGTTGCCAGGTCAAAATTAACGGTTATTTTCACATAAAAAGAAAGAAATCACCGATGTGCACAGTCAAATTGCGTAGTTTTATATTCATAAGAGAAACGTTAACTTCCCTCCTTTTCTTTTACTTATTCCTCCTTTTTCACTTCCTCTGATTTTTTTTCTTTTATCTTTGTCTTTCTTGCTTTTTCGTTTTATAAAGATTGATTCTTCTTCATGTTCATTCTATCTTCCTTCATCTTTCGCAGTACGCCGGTTAAAAGGAAAGCTACGATTGGTCACAGCTGGCTAGGATCGATGATGCTGCAGTTGTTAGAGCCTAGTGACAACATGGCCTCGCACTACAATTTTCTAGACTATTAAAATAATATGTTCATAAAATAATATATCTATGATATATGAATACTTTTATGCTTGATCAAGATTCCATAGAATTCAATAAATTCAAATGACATGTGATTACATTTCTCAACTCTTTATCAACTCTTATTTCAATGTAAATTTAGAGATATATAGATAAATCGGTTCATGACCCATCTTTGTATTGCATAGCTGGACATTTCTAGAACCAGCAAAATCCATTTTCTATCAACAATAATTGGACTTTTCTAGAACCAGAATTCTAGAGGGACTTTTTTGATATAAAAAAATCAAAAAATTCTTCCCAAATTACATAGGATGAAATTATACGTAGGAAATTGGATATATTAGGTCGAGGAAGCACAGCAATTGAGTATAAAAATTAATACTCTTCTTTTTGTTAAACTTTTCTTCTAATGTATGAAGAAGGATTAATCAATATAATTTTTGAAAAACATTTTTAGATCTCTTCTTCTTCAACAATTGGCAAACTGCTCTGATGCATCAACGGACTCGTTCTTGCAGTAAAAGCCATTATCCAGTAATCAAGTTCCTTTTTATTCTCCATAAGAAAAGTTAACGCAATGGGCGAATCGAAACCTTTTTGTCTAACTAGAAAACCTTCTTCCCCATAACGTTCGATCATTGTATTTCTCAAATTCAATACGCCTAATGGTCTGCACACCTTTTTTTGTGGATAAATTACGGCGAAATGTTCAACACTCGTCCGGTAAACCTTCACTTGTACGCCTTGGCGATGGCCATTCGGCCCCATTAAGGTCATATAACCGCTCATATTTTCAGTATTCCAGCAAGAATCCACATTTGAATCTTTTAAACTCGATTGATTAAATTGCAGGAAGCTAGTATGCATTGCTACGTCAGCCGGCATGTTATTTTTTTTCTTTCTTTTTCTATTTACTTTAACCAGAAAAATTAATTAATTCTCAAATCAAAAAAAAAATTAAAATGATTAAGTATATACGATTTAAATTACAAAAAGTTAATGATGATTTGTCTGTATAATTTTTCTCTGTCCGAGAAAAAAAATACAAGTACACTCCCAAAAACCGCACAAAACTGTTTTTCACAGTAAACTGTCTGTATGAACTTTCACCGCCTCTATTTATACGAGATGTGCATTTTGACAATATATGCGCATGCGCATTACTATTATGTAAGTATTTAATAGATGTCACTATAAACGAAACTACATATCGAACGAATTATGATTCAAAATTATTGGTTGAATTTATAAAATTTAGAAAAGAAAATTATTCTAACTTCTGTAAAATGTGAATTAGAATTTAGTTCATATATTCTTTTGCCAAATAATTAGTCAGTATAAATATTGATATTTATTAACCATCAAATGTTTTTATTCTTTTTTAAAAAAATCATTTCTTTCTTACTAAATTTTTTTTTAATAATAATATTTTAATAATATAATTGAAATTTATTAATAATAATAAATTATTAATATTAATAAATTATTAATAAAAAAAAATTAATATCGAACATAAAAACAATTATAAAATATTATTATTTATTTATTATATTTATTATATTATTATTTATTCAAAACCTTAAGTTTGAACGAGTTTGCATATGAACTTTATTAAAATTTAATTCATTAAAATTTAATTGCATATTTATAATGATAATTATTTTTGGTTAATAAGATTATTATTTAATAAAATACTTAATTATTTCATTGTATTTTCATTTGACATTATTTTGATATTTTGATGATACATACTATGATAAAATTTGCATATTACTATAAGCAAGTATTTAAAAATATTATTTACATATAAAATTGAATATCATAGAAATCCAAAGTTGAATGAATTAAATTATTCCTACAATGATTTGTAAATAAAGCCTGATACACATTACTTATGTGTATTAGACTTTATGTCATTTTGTCACAAACTATTGTTTGAATTTGTATAATGGCACTACGTCATTAGATTTACATCTATGTTAAAATAACTATGGTTATGTACATATACATAACCATATATTCTTATTATCTTTATCAATATATGTTGAAATTATACAAGTGTAGTTAAATGTTTATACATATTACATATTCTGCATAAATTGTAAGTAGTTAGTATTTCAGAAACTATCTTTTTTTTTAATAATATAAAGTGTATATTATAATACATATACCATTGATATTAATTATATATTCTATAATAATATTATATTACGATTTAAAAAAAAAGCAAAATGAGACAACAAATAACTGATATAAAAATTAATTCTCACACATCTGGAGAAGCTGATGAATGTCTTTTCGAATATCTACATTCCGAAATGGTTAATTATGCTTTAAATAAATCATGTAAAAATAAGGTAATTATATATTAATGCAATAAATTTTTTATATAATTTGATAATTTTATATAAATTAATAAAATGTATTTATTATATCTTATTTTTTATTATTCAATATATTTTATTATGTTTCTTATGTATCTTGAATAAAAAAAACAATTTAAATCTTTTTTAAAATATTCTCTATGATATAATAATGATTTTATTTTTAAAAATATTTTTAATATATAAATAAAGTAAGATCTTTCAATTATATTTAAATTATTAATACTATTGTTTTCAAATATTTTCATTCATTATATGAATTATTATTTCTATAAATTTGTTATTCAATAGCTTTGCAAATCATTTTCTTCAATAATATACATTATCAATTGAAGAATATACATAAAAATATGTAATTTTACGTTAGAAAATTAATATTATTTTTTAATATGAATATATTTTTTAATCTTTAAAAAACGTGTAATAAAAAATTATTGACTAGAAAAGAGCAATTATAAATATTTCATATATTGAAATTTTTTGTAATTGTATTATAATTTTGAAAATAATAATAGTAATAACTTTTTCTTAATGAAAAAATTTATATTACATAATTTTTAATAATATATAGAAATTACAATATGTAAATTTGACAATGTACTATGAACAATATATTAATATATAATAAAATTATTTTTCTGAACTAAATATTAATTAGATTATTTTTATTTATATGAAATAATATATAATCATTTTCTTATAAATTTTTAATGATTCATTGAACTTGATATTTTAGAAATATAAAAATATAATAATATGATATAATCAAAATTATAATTAAAATGTGCAATAATAAAATTTGTTTGAAGTTACATTTGATATTTATCATATTTGTTATAATTATAACTGATTTTAAAATTTCAAAAAATTATAAAAATTTATTTTAAAAATTTTAAATTATATTTTTAAATAAAATATCAATAATATTGCACTATAATTTTAATATCTATCTGTCTATTTGTAATAATAATAATAATAATAATAATAATAATAATAATAATAATAATAATAATAATAATAATAATAATAATAATATTTAAAATATAAAGGAAGGAGAAGAAGAACTATCTCGATTAGAATGGATGGGATTCAGTGTTGGTTACAGAATCATTGAACGATTGACACGAGAATGGAATCGATTTAAAGATGAATTGGATATGATAAAGTTTATCTGTACTGATTTTTGGTCAAGTCTTTATCATAAACAAATTGATAATTTAAGGACAAATCATCATGGTGTATATGTATTACAAGATAATTCATTTCGATTATTAAATAAAGTAGGTGCTAATAGTAATAAGCAATATTTACAAGAAAGTCCACGTTTATTAGCATTTACTTGTGGACTTTTAAGAGGAAGTTTAGCAAATCTTGGAATTATTAGTACTGTTAATGCAGAGATTTCTACATTACCAAGTTGTAAATTTCATGTACAAGTTCAAAGAATTTAATATTAATAAATGATACAAAATATGTACAATAAAAATTAAAGCATGTTATAAAATGATATAAATCATATTAAGAATTTTATGAATAATTAGAAAAAATTATAAAATTTTATATATACAATTATATTTTAATTTTATTCATATTAATAATAATAAAATATGTTTTTCATATTAATTTTGACATAAAATTTTGAAATTTTATTTAACTATAATATAATAATAAATATTGATATAATAACACCTGAGAAAACACTATTTTCTGATTTTTTCAAATTTTCTGTAACGAATCTTTTTTATTGAAACATGAAATACAGAAAAAAATAACGAAAATATCAAAGTATTGTCTTCATCATATTTTATGAGACATTATATTTATTAATTAAGTAAAAATAATTAATTAAAAATTTACATGTATTGGAAAAATTTTTAATCAGAATGATTTCAGAAATTTAATCAATTTCACATAACTATTGAATATCTATATTCTAAAAAAAGAAAATTCGATCACTCAAATTAAATATATGTATAAAATTTGATGGGAATAAAAAAGATGTGTTTTCTGAGGCATTTCAAGTTGTATTTTCTGATATTATGTATATGTATTTTATTTAAGTTTAATTTAAGTATAAAATTAAATCATATTTATATGATCTAAAAATATATAAAAGTAATTATTTAATTATTTATTTTAATTTTTTTAAAAAATGGAATATATGTTTTAAATATTTATAAATTAAATGCATAATTAGACTTTTACTTATATTATAAGTTTCTAGATAGATCTAATTTTCGTTTTTAGTTAAAAATTAAGTATAATAAAAAACTTGAGAAATATAATAATATAATCAATTTCAATAATTTTAAAAGCATTTTAACAATTGAATGTTATGTTTAAAATTTAATTTATTAAATAATTATTAGATGTACCATTTTTCGTTATAAATTGCAAAATATGAAATTGATTTATAATTCCGATAAAAGCATCATCATGTTCATCATCTAAAATTATTACATATGGTTCTTTTTCAAGAATACGTGATATGTAACCAAGAGTTGCTGAATGTTTAACTTTCACATATTGTTTAACCATAGTTTTATCTACAAAATCTGTACATTTTACTATACCAGATATTATATATGACATAAGTTTGTTTAAACTAATAACACCTTTTATATGTATATTATCATTACTAATAATTAATAATTGTGAATCTGCATTTTTGAGCATATACATAGCTTCTTGACATGTTACTGTATTTTCCTTTAACAATGATTGTCTATCAAAAGATAAATTTGAAATTTTTATATTCCACCACCATTTATTCATTTCATTTTGACATACAGGTTGCTGTAAATTATTTAACAATTCATTATTTAAATTTATAAAAAAAAATTTTTAAATAAATAAAAATAAGTAATTTACCAAAAATCCTCTAGTTTCCATCCAATAATCTGATACAAATTTAGTTAAATAGTTTCGTATTCCATCAGGTAAAACAATCACTATACGTTTTTCTTCAGGAATATCTTTAGCTATCTTAAGAGCAGCTATAAGAGCAGCACCACTACTACCACCACAAAGTAAACCTTCTTGGCGTATAAGCATTCTAGCAGCATTTAATGATTCATTATCTTCAGTCTTTATCCATTTATCAATTACATTACGATCTAACACTGTAGGTATAAAATCATAACTAAAAATAATTGATTATTTAAAATAAAAAACAAAATTGTATACAATATTAGTACATAGAATAAATAAAAAAATGTCACACCCAATTCCTTCTACTTCATAAAAGCCAACTTCATTTTGTGATTCAATTGATGGATCTAAAATACTTCCTTTAGGATCTACAGCAATAATTTTTATATTTGGTGATAATTCTTTCAGTTTTCGCCCAATACCTGAAATAGTACCACCTGTACCAGCACCAGCTATCAAATAATCTATTTTGCCTTCACACTGTTTCCAAATTTCAATTGCAGTTTGATCATAATGAGCCAATGGATTTCCAGGATTAGTATACTAAACATAATACAAATAGGAAACAATTAAAATAAAACTATGCAATAATATAATAGTAGTACCTGATCAAGAATAATACTATTTGGTATTCTTTTTGTAATTTTTGAGCAACACTGATATGTGCTTCTGGACTATGCCAAGTTGCTTCAGTTGGAGTTCGTATAATTTCAGCACCAAGTGCATAAAGCGTTGATACTTTTTCATCAGACATTTTTTCTGGCATAACAATAATGCATTTATATCCTCTAACTGCAGCAGCCATTGCTAAACCAATTCCAGTATTACCACTTGTAGGTTCGATAATGGTACATCCAGGTTTCAATAAACCTTTATCTTCTGCATCTTGAATCATTCTATATGCAATTCTATCTTTCACAGAACCACCAGGATTAAGAAATTCACATTTTGCATCTAAAAATAAAATTATATTTATAAAAAAAAAAACTTTATAAATAATATAATAAATTAACAAGATCAATACTAACATATTTCACATTTTATACCATAAGATTTAGGAATATTATTTAATTTTATAAGTGGTGTTTGTCCAATAGCAGTTAAAATATCAGGCATTATCTTAGTACAATCACCATTTCTGAAATCATATTAAATCATATTAATGAAATATAATAAAAAAAAGTCTATAATAAATTTAAATTTAAAAGAATAAAAAAATAAATTAAATTTTCTAATTAGAAATTTAAGAATATATAAAAACTAATTAAAAGATAATATTTGTAGCAAAAGTAATTTGTTTTAAATTTTTCATCAGTTATATGGATTTTTACATAAAATAAAATATCAATGAAATTAAAATTATTATTAATCATAATAAAATGAATTATAAAATATTTTTATAATCTTAATAATAAATAATATTTTAAATATTAAATAGATTCACATTCAAATTATATTATACAATTTTTTATATGATATATCATCAAATTTTCAATATTTTTATATTAATTAATTATCAAGATTAATATAATAATTTATATAATTTATGAAAATTGTAATATTGTAATTGTAATTGTATTATTATATATATTATATTATATATGTATTTATATATTTATTATTTTCATCATAAAATAATATATAATATATAATATATGCAACAATAAATTTAAAATTCAAATTTTTTATTTTTGAAACAAAATTATATTTTTATTTCAGATCTTAAATTTTTTTATAAATTTAAGAAATATTATTTAAACAAAAATATGAATACTTACATAATAAAAAAAAATATTTTATATTAAGTTTAAATAATATATTAAAATTTAAAATAATTTTTAAAAATACTGAAAGTAATTTAAGAATACTGCAAGTTTTCATTTTTATTTTATTTATTAAATTATTATTAAATCTCATTAATAAATATTCTTATTACAAACTTACTGTATTCTACATGTATGTGGTGAATTTGTTGCATTTAATTCCCATGTGCAGTAACTAGGTCGATTAGGTTGTTTAAATTCCATAATTAAAATTTAAATTATAATTGAATTCTTCAAATTTATTAAAAATAAATAATAAAAATAAATTTTAAACTTTTTTTCAATTCAATTTTTAGCAACTCAAATATTATATTAAATTCTTTAATGTTATGTTGATTTCAAGATTGAGGAAAGCAAACTGCTTGTAATCATGTAATCATGCTGCGTAACTTTTGAAATACTATTCGATCATATAATGATGTAATAATTAAGATAAATATTAGAAAATAATTATGACTTCATATGTGTCTTTTGACTAATATATATTTATCATATATAAAATGTAATTTTTAAAATATGAAAATAAAACGACTAATAAATTAATAAAATTGAAGTTTTCATGAAAACTATTGTATTATGAATATTGCATTGAAAACATTCCATTTAAATTTAAATCTAGCATTATTTTTCAACAGTTCGATCAATTAGCATATGTATGATTTTATCAAGAAGTTTTGTTTCTTGATAATATATAACTATCATTGCTATTTTATTTAATATAAATTGCATATATAAATATTAATTAAAAAGAAGATATACACTTATAAGATTTCTTTTAAAATAATTAGTACTATTTTATATTATTAATTTTTTTATATTAAATCAAAGCTTTATATTATTTTTTTATTAATAGTTTAGACATTTTATTATATCTATTCTAGATGTTTAGATGTTTCTTCTACTAGATGTTTATAATATTATATTCATATTAATTTCTTGAATTTTTTTTCTATATTTCGAAGCGAAAAAAATGATATACTATTTCAATATGGTGGATCGTTTTTGAAGTACTCAAGTATTTTTTGTTTCATTTTAAATAGTGATATGCATTGATAAAGATTTTAAATGATAAGAAAGTGTGAATTTAATGATTAGAAAAAAACTTCATAATAATATAAGACTATATAAATGACAATGATTGATGTATGTTATTTGAAATGACTTGTCATTTCCGTAACGATTATATAGTTCGTGAAAATTACACATATGTTGTGTTTCCAAAATGTATTAACAATAAACATAGTGTATTATATTATTAGTAATTATTATTGAACATTAATTGTAATGCTATTATGCTTTAATGTAAATTATTGTATTCTATTCTAAAATTGTGACAAGTTCATAGATTCAGTAAACAAAATTTATAAGTACGCTATATAATTATTATGTACTTTGAAGTAGAATCTATTCAAAAATATCCAACCGCAACCATGTATGTAATATTATAATAAATTTTATCGTTATTTTAATAATGATTTTATTTTTGATTTTTTTATTATCTATTTATTTATTATTTATTCATATTTAATTTTTAAGTTAATTTTTTTTAATAACTTATATTGATTTAATAGGAATAAATCAGTGGAAGATTTGTTAATATCTAGTCGTGAAGTTATGACTAATGTAAATTCTACTGGATTTGAAAATCAGAATCCAACAATGAATATAGGAAATGGTATATCAGATAATATTCAAGAAACAATTATTGGAGGAACTGGAGAAAAAAGTAGTCCAGTTTCAAGTCCAAATTTATCTCCAC